CAGGCTCGGGGATTGCACCATTCTTCCCCATACCTACACAATCCTCCGGGATCTATCTGCCCTTCCACCTCTTCTTACTCCTTATCCGGCTGCCAATACTTTTCACGGCTACCTTGAGTTACTTCTTCGTGCTACAATGGCTGCCGATTGGCTCTTTGGGGAAGAAAGCGTCGTTGTGGCTCATACTTGGTGCACCGGGAGTCTGGTGGATCGATCTTCAAATTGACGGTGTCAAGAAGGGGTGCGTGCTCTACATCAGATATTCTGGATACATCGCTGATCATGTGGCCCCAGCTCTCTCGCCAAACACCACGAGGCACGACTGCCGCAACCAGGCTCCATTATTGCCTGTTCCTATACCTCCCCGCTTGACTCTCTGTACCTCGCCGCCATCTTCGATCCTGTCTTTACGGCCTCATACCCATCAACCCGTCTTGTGCATCGCATTTCATTGTTCCATGCCATGTTTCGCGCCTTCCAATATCCAGGACTTGAACCGCCGAAGAATGAAAAACTTACAGATCTGCAGACCCTCATACAGCAGTACCCAGGCCAAGCTATCGTGGTCTACCCTGAGTGCACGACGACCAATGGGCGAGGCATCCTCCCATTCAGCCCATCACTTCTCACGGCACCTCCTGAAGCCAAGATCTTCCCGATAAGCCTTCGATACACTGCAGGAGACATCACGACGCCTGTCCCGGGCTCATACGTCTCGTTTGTTTGGAACCTCTTGAGTAAACCAACTCATTGCATACGCGTGAGGATTGCTGAAAGTGTCCACAACACTTCCCAGTCGCCAGCGACTAGAAACTCGACCAGTCAAACCGAAAGAGAGATGCTGTATGACGACAGAGCGAGCAGTTCGGATACATTGCTCAATTCGGAAGACGCCGAGAGTATGAACGCAGCGGAAAAGCGAGTTTTGGACAAGGTCGCTGAGGCATTGGCGAGATTGGGGAGGGTGAAAAGAGTAGGCCTTGGCCTCAAGGACAAGGATGAATTCGTCAAGGTTTGGACCAAGCAGCGGCGTTGACAGCGAGCAGCAATCGTAGGAGGAATGCCCTGTGTACACAGTGCGAAATGCTGTCTGACGAGAGTAGACTCCTCACATCGGCTGCAGAAGAATGCCCATCGAGACTCTGTCGAAGACGGACTTGGCTCCATTCCTTCCAAAAATGGACGGCTTGGGTTCATAGCCCAAGCCAAGACTGCTGCTTCATCTGAACAGTTGAAGTTGCCCGACTTTGCCGAAGTGGAAATGAATGCCAGAAGTTGGTGGAGCTATTCAGCATTCAGTGGCGCACATTCCGTGCAAAGAACAACCCAGACACATCCATTTGTGAACGCGTTTTCATATTGTGGGCGCGAAAGTGGGGTGCTCGTCGCGCAGCGTAGAGAGGGTTGGAATCATGGGACAGATCCGGACGAATTTCAATCGCAGATGGATTGACAATAATATTGGAAATCTAGGAATCTTAGCAAGTATCATTCGGGTAGATGAAAATGTGACCCGTTGCAAGACCGCTGGCTCTGCGGGAGGGTGTCGAGGAAGAGCCCTGTCGTTATTGCCTATGCCTTTGTCAATGATGCTATAGCGATCCGTTGCTAGTCAATACGATGTGATAATTATCCGAAGCGCCTTCTACTCACGTCTCATCTAAAGTAAGTACATCACGCCTTAGACGATGTCGTACTGAAAGCTAACCTACAGCTTGCGCCCCTCGACCAGCTCCCCAGAGCGTCCGAGCGATCTTGTCCTCAAACGAAGCGAAACACCTCACGGCAAGCTACTCCTTCACACGCTCTCCGCATCCACCTCACGTCCCCCCCGTCTCTACTTCCCCACCCGCTGCGGATCAAAGACCTCGGGACTCATATACGTAGTCATACTCAACGTCCCCTTCTGAAAGCAGCAACTGACATACGTCTGCAACCCCACCCTCTCCTCCAACGTCCGATGGCCCGCCAACCCCTCCAGCACGCGCATGTACCCCTCCTTGAACCGCCCCCTCCCCCGATCCTCCATCCACTTCGTCAATCCCCTCGCTATACTCCGATCATCCTTCCCGTACCGCCGCGTCGGGAGGTAGAATTTGATGTCCGGCAGCGGCGACCCCGGCGCGATGTCGAAGTAATACATGTACCCCTCCACGAGGTGCTGATCTTCTTCGAAATGGTTCACCGAGTAGCCCTGCGTGGCCGGGAGGGGCGACCCGGACGGGAAGTCCGGCGGCAGGTCCAGCACGAGTTGGATCAGCTCCTCGAGCTCCGCGAGCCCGCGGTCGACGCCCCGGATCTGCCCGCCCATGGTCATGATGCGCCGCACGCTGTCGAAGGACGTGTGCGGCGTCTGCACGTACAGCTTCAGGCGCGACTTGGTCGGCTCGACGCAGTCGATCGCCAGCATGAAGGGCTGCAGCAGCGCGCCTTCCGGGTCCGTCCGGCAGAACCGCACCACGCCGTCCATGGTGGCGCTCTCGGGCGCGGCGCCCTTGATCGCGCCGGCCCAGACGTCCATGGGGGGCGGGCCGTTCATCTGGCCGATCTTCTTGGGCCCGAAGTACGCCTTGACGGAGAGGCCTTGTTTGAGGAATTCGAAGGCCAGGGACATGGTCGAGACGAGCTGGCCTTCGGTCTGCGTGGCGTAGGCTTCCTTGTCGGGGGAGAAGAAGACGTCGGCGAAGTGGCGGAACCATTTCAGGTCCAGGCTCGGCATCACTTGGCCGAGTTGGTAGAGCAGCTCCTTTGTCGATTCCTGGTTCAGGGGGTCGAGGATCGTGCCGGCGAAGGGCCCGATGGGCTCCATCGTGTAGCGCACGTCCGGCGCGCCGTCCTTGGTGTTCCACTTCCAGCTGTATTCGATCGGGGTGCCGTCGACCGTGAGGAGGGATTTCCACTTCGGGGTCCCGCCGGGGGGCAGGCGGGGGCCGAGGCGGGGCACGATGACGTGGTAGTAGAAGACCATGGCTTCGTAGGATTCGTGGAGGCTGTAGCCGGCTTCGGAGAAGAGGCTGGCCATGTGCGGACCCGTGAGCTGCCACCAGTAGTCGAGATCGGCGCTGCGGGACGGGAGCCAGCGGGACGTCATGGTCCAGAGTGATGTTGTTTTGGTCGAGAGGGAATTGGCGATGTTGGGAGCTGCGTTTCCGTTCGCGGTGTTGCCGTTTACTGCTCGTGATGTCTGAGAGTGGATGTTGAGATTAGCTTGATGCACGAATGGTATCTTTGTGCATCCGAGAACTTACCTCTTCAAAGCCTACTCCAGATGTCTTGCCGGCACCGTTAGGAGCAGAGTCGCCGTTCACCGCGGAATCTCCATTCACCGCGGAGTGTCCGTTCGGCTGCAACGACTTCTCAGAACCCCCGTTCACACCCACCGCCTTCTCCTCCCTCGCATACTCCTTCTCCAACGCCCCGAGATCCGCATCGATCTTCTTCCCCCCGACCACCACATCCTTACACCCCAGCAGCACAAACAACATACGCCCGCACTCGGTGCCGCCACCGGAGATATTCTCCCACTTGTGCGACGTGGCCCGCTGAACGAGCACGTCCCCGCGTCTCAGGATCCTCGACTCCCCGGAATCCAGGGTCAGTCTGAACTCCCCTTCCAGGACGACGCCGTAGTCTATGGTGATGACGCCGTGGGGGATGGATTCGAGCCCGGGGCCGAAGTCCATCATCCGGACGACGGAGCCGTTGGGGATGTTGAGGCCTGGCTGTGGAGGTGACGGGACAATGTTAGAGGGGGTCATCGGGTCGTGGATGGATGGGACAGGGCCAGGAAAACTGAGAGATAATGATGGGGAAGGTGGAAGGTCAAGGACTGCGTACCTCGTTCTCCTTCGCAAACTTGATGTCGACATCGTCGTTCAAATCGACTGGAGTGTCTTGAGTCGAATACAAGATGTTCATAACCGCTTGCTTCTCGCCCATGACACGGTGATGGTCTCCATGATCCGAGGTTTGAAAGTAGCCCTTGCCGTCGGCGCCGTGGGCAGTGATGAAGCGTTCGGTATTTCGAAGACCAGGGGCTGGGTAGCCCTTTGTGATGGTATCGATCGCTCCCGTCGCCATTTTTGAAGAATCGCTCGAGATGTTGGCGTAGGTGATGATGTCCCTTGCTGTCTGGAAAGATAACCGGTGGTGGATCGATATCCGTACTATGATTCTTGAAAGGGTTGACGCTCCTGTCGGTACCTTTCGACTGCTATCTCACTATGGAGGCAAAGAAGGAATAGCATTTTCCGGCGGAACTGTGTTCCTCCATCTCCGTTCCATACCAATCTCAATTGATAGCCTTGCGCGCTGGGCAGTCCTGCGCGTCAGACCCTCCATCGGCACCAAAGAAAGCTTTGGCCCACCCGCCGCCGACCATGCGAGCAGTGGAGACCCTAGTGTGACGGTTTCCCTTGGCACTGCATGCATCCTCAGCCGCACTAGAGTCAGAATCTGACAACCCTAGCATTGGCCGCGCTAGAGCCGCTAGGATGAAGGTTGAGGTAGATGTCTGACCCTGACAGCATTAGCCCTGCTACCAACGATCAAATCAAAAGTTAGACAGCCAGACACGACAATACTCTCCGAGACATGTCGACGCGTTTCAGTGTGTCGATCTTAGGCACAGGCAGCTGGCGATTCTTCTGGTTGGCCACTCCATAGTGTGCAATGCAAGTCAGATCGTTTCACGCACTGCCTTTGCTGCACTGCTATCCAATTTTTCACTTATTTCTTATTTTTTCCTTGTTGGAAGCCCGGCTATGCATTGCGGATGACATGACAGCATCTAGCATTAGGTTCATGCAGTCGGGTGAACATTCCTCCTATCGCGTTTCCTGGGTCTGATGATCCTTTCGCTGGCGACTCAAGAATACTGTTCAGCAACTTAGGAACTCTCTGCGCTATACCTCTGTATAATTTCTGCGTTTATTGTTTGGCATACACATTGTAGAATTGGCATCCAGAATCAAGCAAGAAATCGAAGACGACGAGCCATCATGCTTACCCGCATTCCTCCCGACTATGAAGTTCGCGAACAGTTCCACTCGGAGCAAAACCATGTCAAAATCATTCACGTTGGTGCTGGCGTATCTGGTCTTTTGACAGCGTACAAAGCGAAGAAGTATCTCAAAGATTATGAGCTGGTCTGTTACGAGAAGTAGGCTACTTACGTTTCTTCATGACGCTTCCTGCGTCTCGAATTCGCGCTGAATGTATCTCTAGAAATCCGACTATTGGAGGGACATGGTGGGAGAATAGGTAAATAGCTTCATCCGATCACCACTCAATAGCAGCCCGCCGCGGCATCAAATGGATACGACTTTGACTCACAATATCCGCCAGATACCCAGGATGCGCCTGCGACGTACCCAGTCACTCGTACACACTCACATTCGAGCCAAATCCAGAATGGAGCGGCTTCTATGCTTTTGGAAGTGAAATCCAGGCGTATTTTCAGAAATTCTATGAGAAATATGAATTGCAACCTTATATGAAATTCGACACAAAGGTTTTGTCGGCTGTATGGCATGAAGACAAAGGAGAGTGTATGTGATTGTGGTCGCCGAAATAATATTTGGAGCAAAGACTGATAAACTCTCAAGGGAAGGTGGAGCTGGAAAAGGGTGGCGAGAAGTTCACCGACTGGTGTAATGTCCTGATCAATGGTTCCGGACCCATTAACAAGTGGAAGTGTAAGAATAGAGTTGTTTCAGCAGATTCTTGTAGCCAAGAGTAATGCTTACCTTTTCCTAGGGCCCGTCATAGAAGGAATCGAAACATACAAGGGAACTCTCGCTCACACTGCCAACTGGTCTTCCAACATCGACTGGAAAGGAAAGCGTGTGGCTGTAATTGGCAGCGGCTCGAGTTCGGTCCAAGTGGTACCGCAGCTAGCTGAAGGTAAGAGAATTGGTCGCGGTACTGGGAGTCTAGCCTAGCCTTCTACTAATATCTGGGCCACTCAGGTTGTGAGTCCCTTACTGTATTTGCGCGAAACTCAACATGGATTGCGCCCCAAATGGGCTCTCAGGACGTCAAGATCCTGCCCCCAGACTCCGAACAGACCTCGAAGCCCGCGGCAGCCGGAAAGCATCAGTACACCGAAGAAGAAAAAGAGAAGATGCGCACGGACCCGGAAGCGTTCCTCAAGTATCGGAAGGAGGTTGACGGTGCCCTGCAGAAGGGATTTTCGGTCTTTCTCCGCGGAAGTGATCTCAACGTTATGGCGAAGAAAGGTATGGCTGAGATGATACGTGCTCGCATCGGTCCCGGTCATGAGGATTTGAAGGAAAAATTCATTCCAAAATGGTCGCCTGGCTGCCGAAGGATGACGGTAGGCAAACTGCCTTTAGATTTCCTGCTCTACTGAGCTGACAGCTCTATCAATCTAGCCTGGTGAAGGATACCTTGAAGCACTGACAAAAGACCGTAAGCTATCATCGTCCTCATGGTTCATTTTTCATTACTGAGCTCCTCTAGATGTGTCTGTCATATCCGACGAAATAGTGAGGTTCACAGAGAACGGTTTGGTGACTGCCGACGGTAAAGACTTTGAATTCGACATCATTGCTTGTGCCACTGGCTTTAACGTTGCGTTCGCTCCACACTTGTTAGTAGTGCTCTTTCCTCAATGTGAATTTGTGGGTGACTACTGATCTATCATACAGCAAGATGGTTGGCGTCGACGGCGTAGTGTTGCAGGAAGAGTGGGCTGAAGTACGTCGACCTTGATGGAATGGTAAATCGAACCTGCAGAACATTCTGACACCGAGGCAGTACCCCAATATCTACCTCAGCGTAGCAAGTCCCAAGTTCCCCAACTATTTTACCGTCGGCGGTCCAACCGGCAACTGGGGCCAAGGTTGCGTACTAGTATCAGTAGGTCTCCCACGATATCCACTTCAAAATAACCCAAAAGCCTCCAATCATCAACAACGAACCACTGACACCTCCGCAGCACGAAGTCCAGGTTGAATACGCCATGCAATGCTGCGTTAAGATCGCGGAAGAAAACCTGCACTCACTCGAAGTCTGTCAATCGCCCACGACTCAGTACCTCCTGCACAGCTACACTTGGCACAACGCCAAATCCGTCTGGGCCGAGGACTGCCGCTCTTGGTACAAAGACAACAAACCCAACGGGCGCATCCAGCTGTGGTGCGGCAGCATGATGCATTTGCTCAAGACGCTGCGGACGCCGCGGTGGGAGGACTATCGGATCAAGCGGAGGGATGCGAACATGTGGACTTTCTTGGGGAACGGGAGGATTGAGTTGGAGGTGGAGGGAGAGAAAGGGAAGGAGGTTGATTGGGCGCCGTATATCAGGAATGCTGATGTGCCGTGGAGTTTGGACTTGTGAGAAGTGAACGCATGGTGCCTATGGATGTTTGGTTCAGGGTGGATGCAGCAGTGAGGCTGCTGAGGAAGGGAGTAAACTTGAGTGGAAACATTGTACGCCGAAGGTCGGGCTGGTCTGAAGGAGCAAGAGTGGACTGGCTACTGATACACCTCTGAATAAGACATGATCATACCTAGACAAACATTGAGAGAAGATACATTTGGACCATCTATCTAGACGTCAGCAATGAGTTTCCGAAGTCACCGCAGCGGCAGCGTAGGCAACGACGACGATTGCTTAGTACTTGCTCTTAGGGCTGGGCGAGCCTGTTTTTCGCGAATGTCCTGTATCAGATTTGCTGGGCCAGGCAGCAACATCTCAGCCCTGGAAGCCGTATCCGTATTCCCAGAACCGAAGCCAAAAGGTCTTCTTGGGTGAGGGTGGATCGGCACCTCTCATTTTAGCCTGGAGCACACTACCCTCGGCACTGGGAGTCACCCTTTTACCCCAAATATGTTACATCGGTCGATCAGGAACAGACTAATCTATAGGCAGCATCAGAGAGAGAGCTACTGCAGGCCTGCAATCACAGGAATTATTGGATTTGTATGAAGATTTGATCGACGCAGGAGTAGTAAGGCGGGCTGAGATGGTCAGGGTTGCAGTCGGAGAGGGTGACAGTTCGACTTGGACGAATCAGAGAAGCAAGTTCAGGGTCACCCAGCCCCCGGAGACTACATTAATATTATTATGCAGGGCATGGCCTTATGCAGGGTTATTGATCTTTAGCTCACTAATTGACTTTCGCTGTATTTTTAGTTTTTACGTATTATTACCTTAAGGACCTCGGGGACCTCCGGAGCTTGCACTACCTTACTCGTACCACCCCAAGCATTGCTTATTTAGCGTGGGGGATCTGATACCGGCCGTCCGCCCTCCCGCTAATTAATAGTAAACGGCCGGCTAATGTTGGTCAACAACGCCGTACGCGTTTTGTAGCCTGGTGATTCCGCACGCTTCCTTCAAGGCCATCGTCGGTGGCATCACTTCAGGATCATGGATGTCAGCTCTCTCGATCCAGCTATACGGATAAGCGAACATGCTCACTAGGCATGAACCCTTATCCACTAGGAGTCTAGTTGCTTACCCTGCTCTGTAAATGGTAAACAAAGCGAATGATCGACCACCCGTACTTGAATACGAAACGTACCCGAAGGCAGAAATGAAAGGGTGGCGTTATACATGATGCCTATCACTCATGCACGGATTGATCAATTTCCCGCAGCTTGGTTGACCTTGCGACCCAATGTAGACTTGGCTTTCTCTGGCCCTCAGTACGACGGAGTTCAGGTGGGAGATACATACCGTCTGGACCATGGCGGACGCTTCTCGCATGCAAAATAACGTGGGAGAAAAAGTACCAAAGTACCGGGCATCGTGTGACTCCTGCAACGAAGCAAAAGTTCGCTGCTCCCAGACGAGACCGAGTTGTGCTCGATGTTTGAAGGGACAGAACCGCCGCTGCGTCTATGGCGTATCGAAGAGATCCGGCAAGCATAGCGGAGAGGGGTCCACCAAGGCAGAAGGAGGTGGCAAGAACGCCACCGTTGCCAGGCCGCCGGCAACGCCTACCTCGACGACGGGTATCGAGACACCTTCAAGCTCCTCGAGCACCATAGATCCGAGAGAATTTCTCCAATTGTTCCCACCGTCTAGCGCGGATTCTTCCGACTTACTCAACGGGCAGCAATTGCAGAAAGATTGGACATTTGACAACAATCTTTTCATGCCCAACCAATCCGCAACGTCGCAAGGGTCGCCCGCCAATTATGATCATTACCAATTCATGTTCGGAAGAGATGAAGGTCACATGTCGAGTGTCCAACACCACGGACCCGGTCTTTTTGACAACGCCTCCGATGCAGAGCTCGGATCCTGTAGCCGCGACGACAGCATAGCCGAACAACCTCCCTCCTACACGCAATCGAACACCCAGTGCGTTTCCTGCAGCACGTCGAACCTCCAAAATGATAGCTCCTCAATGGTAGACACCTGCCGTTGCAACGAGATTATTATCACGCAGCTCTCCTTACTGCCGGTACTGCTTCTCGACAACGAATGTTCCACATTCGATGTCGAGCTTGTACAGTTCCAGAAAGCGATTAAACTCTGCACTGGCGTCCTAGCTTGTACCTGTCCCGGCAAAGATTACACGTCCATCTTGACCATCAGCATGCTTATCGCCCGCATCATCTCCTTCTTCGAGCGCAACGGCGCTCAAGCAGGACGCGACAACGATCAAAATGCCCCGTCACTCATCATGACAGGTGCGATGACCCCAATCCGGTCACCAAAATTCAGCGTTGGTATATATGAGATCGAAGGAGAGGACGAATGCAATCTAAAGAGGGAGGTGTGGTGGATGCAGATCAGGAAGGTAGAGTCACTTGTTGCAGGATTCAAGGAGATGGTGGCGAAGATGACGCTGCAACAAGTATACCAGGACAATTCTCAGGTAGCGGCGTGGGGAAAGCTCGTGTTTTTGCTGGAGCAGAAAGCCCAGGCGGTGAAGAGAGACTGGAGTGCCTGCCGGGATAAAGCTTGATGGCGGAAAAGAATTATTACGATAGAAACGGCTGCAAAGACTTGTATGAGAGGCGAGCATGCTTGGGTGTAGGTAAAAATGTTGATTGGCTACAGAGATCATTTGTACGTCGAGTTCATGATTCCATGAACCAATTGGGCCAGAGTGCTTAGACGATGCAGTGTCGCGTGGATGAGCATGTGACTCGGAGCTTCTCCTGGTCTTCTCGGCGATGCTCGTAGACTACGCGCGCAGGTGCTTTTGTGCATTGACCTCTACTCGTAGAGGCGATGTTCTTCCAGCCGAGCTTCGGATAAAAGTTTTCAAACAGACCCTGTATTGATACAGATGATTATGAGAAACGCTTGTTTAGCGCGACAGATGTTACGACACCACAATCTAGAGTACCTTAAGGATAAGGCTTCCTAACGGTAAGGTAGGGCCATCCCAAGTACAACAACAGAAATCCACCACGTAAGTTCTTCTTCTTCTTCTTCTGATGATGATGATGATGATGATGGGCCTCAAATTAAAATATAATCCTCTCCATATCAAAGTCAGTACTCTCTACAGATGTCTAAAGATTACGCGGAATGCATGATACGGCTACAAGTCGGGGTAATGTCCGGCCGTAGCTTCCCATGCAGGGACTTCTGTCAACATTGTCATTGGCTTCTTTCAACTTGCACTTCTCGCAAGCTGCCGCTTTGCCAAGGCTATCAACCCACCTTTTTTGCTCTTGTTTCTCAAGCTGCACTCATTCTCATTCTCACTCTCACATCCTTTTTACTCCTACCTCCTTTACTTGACATACTGACAACCACCTCTCCATCATATTATTCATTGCCTTTCAATGAGAGTGTTATCTACCATGTAAGTGTATTCACTTCACCACTGGCCTCACATATTGATCACCACATAGAATCCAAAGCAAATCACACTAATCTCCTTGCCCGTCTCTCAACACCTTCTCGCCATGGGGCCCCTTCTCGATGAACTTCACAACCAATTCTTCACCAGGCCTCCGGTCCCCACCGCCGACTTCTCAGGCAAGACCATTATCGTCACCGGTGCCAATGTCGGTCTTGGAAAGGAGGCTGTCAAGCATTTTGTGAAGCTACATGCCGCAAAAGTCATCATCGCCGTGCGATCTACTTCAAAAGGCGAAGCCGCCAAAGCAGAAATCGAGCGGGATTCCAAGGTTGCTACCAATGTCATTGATGTCTGGCCGCTCGACTACTCCAACTATGCCTCGTGCAAACAATTCGCCGCCAAAGTCGCAACGTTGGACCGCGTTGATGCTGTGGTCTTGAATGCGGGAATCACTACCGAGAAGTTCGAACTCTTCGAGGACAACGAGAGTCAGGTTACGGTCAATGTCATCAGCACCGTGCTTCTCGCATTACTCGTACTGCCAGCGCTACGTACGTCCGCCGCAAACAACCGGGGTACTACACCTATCATCAGCATTGTTGGCTCGGGTGTACATGCCTACACCAAATTTCCTGAGCGAAAGGAACCCCGAATTCTCGCGGCCTGCAACGATCCGAAAAAGGCTCGCATGTCAGATCGGTAAGAATGTCCCCTTGCTCGGTTGCTGTCGTTGGACAATTTATGTGGGCTAATTTATGGGTTCACAACGCAGGTATCAAGTCACCAAGCTCATGTCTCTTTTCGCGGTCCGATCGATGGCAGAGAAGACTGCCAACGCCAAACCTTATGTCATCATCAACACCGTTAATCCTGGGCTCTGCTACACGGACTTAACGCGTAGTCTGACAGGCAGCACCGGCAACGCAATGAAAGTCATGAGAGCTGCTATGGCGTGGTCAGCTGAGGAAGGTAGCCGGACACTTGTCCATGCAACGACTGTAGGACCTGAGTCACATGGGGTGTTTATCAGCGGCAGCAAGATTCCTAAGTAACTATACATGTAGAGAGTCACTTGGGATGCAAAAGGCTAATTGCTCTACAGTAACGGCCAATCAAAGTTCGTCACCAGCCCCGAAGGTATATCCACACAAAAGAAAGTCTGGGCCGAGATCTCGGAGAAGCTCGAGAAGATTCAACCAGGCATTACGACTGAGCTTTAGGTTTTAGTGGGCTGGCAGGACGACACCATCTTCTCTTACGATTGACAAATCTGCTCGATATTTGCCCAGGCGAGTGATCCCAATGAACACATCCACGGCAAGCGCAGAATGGCTTGAGCATGGACAATCCAGAGATTCCCCACGAGCGCATTAAAACACTTGCAAGGATCCAGCTATTCAGTATTACACGCGCTTTGATCCAGGTACTGAGATACGGAAACATTTATTGGCGTGTATCTTACCATTCTAATGATATTTATTGTGCTGTTAGCACCGGCTGAAAATGTCTTCCTTTACAAATCTGAAAAGATGAATATCACGTGACCATTGTAGTGACCGCGTAAGGAAGTGAAGCCTGTTAATTGTAACGCCACATGGGCAGGAGTCGTGGCCCCACGTGTCACCGTGTCGAGAAAGACCTTGATGTGGGATTAACGGGCGTAAGATGGGAGGGCGGTGCCGAATCCTGTAGCATGGCCGCTGCCATCCCAACAGTTCCGACCGCATCGCTTGCCAAAATATCAGTCATTTTCCAGTCGCGTCCGCCGCCTGCAAGATAACGCATGCAACGTTTCCGGCAGGAGCAGAGATGCGGTCAGCCCGGGGCCAAAAAATGCGGGGCATGTCAGAGCCAAAAGTGTGCACGTCAGATGCATTAGCGAGAGCGTAGTCACCCTCCTGCATCGTTCCACTTGACACGCGCATGTCAGACGTAACATCCTAGGTACCTACTTCGAAACGTCCGCGGTCATTTTTGCACAGGGTCATTTTGGAAATCTGGGAAGGGTTGGGGGGGGGGTGTCAATTTACACCGCCGCGATCGATCAATCGAATGACTCATGATACTTCGGACAGACAGCTGTGGCGAATGGGTAAGGTAACGCGAGCGAGAATTGTACGGTCTCGTGTGGTAGGTTTTGTCAAAGTGTTACTACAGTATCCCCACGTATACGTATACGTATGCGCATCATCGACTCCGCCACCGACAACCCACGACGACGACGATGCCCAACAAAAACACCCCCATCGTCGCCAAAACGCTCAAACCCAAAACCGTCCGCTTCGCCCTCGCCGCCTCCCACCACCCCCGGATCCAACACACCGACCCCCGACCCCGCGCAAATTCCACCGTTGTCGGACAAGAAACCGCAGCGGCAGAGAAAGAGGCGGGGGGACGAGGAGCCCCAACCCCAACCCACCGCGCCCTCCTCCTCGCCCACGCCCTGGCCTTTTCCGTCCTCCTCTTCGCGGCCGCTTACCTGCTGCACGCGCGGCTGGCGGGGCCGAGGTGCGTGGCGGTGTTGTATTTGGGGCTCGTGTGGGGGTTTAGCGGTAGGGGGGTTTGGGATGGGTGATGGGGGGGAGGGAGTGGGGATTGGGGGAGGGGAGGGGGTGGGGTGCTGGAGATGGGGGGGGTGGGTGAGGGGGGAAGGAATGATAGGTGGTGTTTGTAGATTCGTCCGTATGGTCTGGACGGTTTTTGTCCGGCTGTCGCGATCGCGGTTGGAAAGGGGGGAAGCGGAGATGTGTTGCGGTGGGCCTCTGAGCGGACGGGGAGTTTGCGTGTGGATGGATGAGGGTGAGCGAAGTTTGGTGTATGGCGTCGTGATGTGGCATACGTGATTGGGATTACTTAGGCTTGGCGGGATTGGGGATGGCGCATTGGGTTGGGAGTTGATGATGGGAGTGAAGGAGGTGCATTTTGGGTGAGAATGGGGGATCATGGACGGGGATGCGTCGGAGTGGAGATCTTTGAGCATTTTTTTGCTCCGGTTTTCTGAGCTCGTTTGTGCGCCCGGAAGCTGCGGTTGATATGGATAGGACTTTGGAATACTCACGTGATGTTCTGCTCGAGTGTCGTTCGAATTCGCTGGTTGGAGAAGGTAAATCAAGTTTGGAAGCACGGCAATCACAAGAAAGGCAGCGGAAAGCAAAAGACATGGTTGGCTGTGTATTGGCATGGCAAGTACTTGAGATATAATGACCCTTTTCGCCAAGTGGAAACCAACCTGTGCGCATGGCCTCATCTCAGGTAGTCTCCCTTGCTCTTCCCCGTCATCTCCTTCTCCTTCATGCTACCTAGGATACCCTCGACATTGGCAAATGAGAGTTCTTTCAAAGTCTCATTCCACACCCTCTTTGACAAGGCGTCCCCTTTCTGTCCCGAGAGCTGTGGGGGAAAGCTGAGTCATCAAATCAGCAATGTCTCTGATCAGTAAGGTGTGGAGATTTACTGGTAACGAGCACAATCGCTGAGATACTGCCCATGAGACGCCGGTCCCTGCGCAACTGCCGCATCCACAAGGGTCCGCGCCCCAACGGACGTCGATCGGCCGATCATACGCTTGATTGCCGTAAAGACGATACCAAGAGCTCGGTATCGCGTCGTAACCTCTGCGTGCAGTCCTGAACCGTAGCAAAAGCCCGGGTTGACGACGTTGACAATTCCCCTGGAACTCGGAAGGGTACGGCACATTTCGATCAGGAGGATCTCTTGCAACAGCTTGGAGGTGTAGTATCGATCTTGCATGTCGAAGTACTTGGGATTGTTGAAGGCAGGGAAGATGGGGTCTTGCTTTTGCTCTTTGAACATGGCCCATTCGGCGGTTTCGGAACCGACGATGGTGATGGTGCCAGGCCTGGAGCGGGTGCTATTTTTCTTGTCCATGACGGGGAGGAGTTGGATAGCGAGGAGAGCAGTCGAGAGATAGTTGACTTGCACGACTTCTTCGTGGCCGGTCACCTTGTTGATTTCCAGCTCCGGTTTGAAGATTCCGGCGTTCAAAATGGCAAAATCAAGTCTCGGAAGCGTAGCGCACCTCTGTGTGAATTGGCTGATACTCTCATAGTTGCTCATGTTGAGGTCCCAGACTTCGATCTTGGCCCCAGGAGCCTCGCGGGCGAGTTCGATGCGGGCATTGTTACCCTTTTCCTTGCTCCGGACTGCGAGGATCAGGTGGCTCAGGCCAAGTTCGAGGAGTTGGCGGGAAGCTTCGAAACCGAGACCGATATTGGAGCCGGTGACGATGCCGGTTTGGCCGCGTAGATTGCTTTTCTCCACGTTGGCTTTGGGGGGAGTGAGGAAGAACTGGCGGTACAGGAATTTGAGTGTCTCGCTCATCTTGGCGGCAGAATTGGGTGTGAATGTTCACCGGAATAGGTGGGGATGGAGAATGAAGTGAGTATGTTGAGCAGAAGAGGACATCTCGCTCGTCATTGCTCCTCCGAGACCCTGCATAAGATCAAACCAAAGGTAAAAAGAAGAGAAGCGCGCAAGTATTCCTAGGCTCCCGTTGCAACACGCTAGTAGGGTGGTCTAGGAATACTCTTTTATCCAATCACTGCTGCAGAGGGCGCCTGGATGACTTGAAAGCCGATTCGGATGCACGAATAGATTGATGTGACCAACCAACATCCTGCTGGCCCTTGCCGGCATGCTGGTATCGTGGACAAACCAAAGGACGAAAAGATGAACAACGAGAACAGTCAAACGCGAGTGCAAAGGTTAGATGTCAGAAGAGTGCATGAAAAGGGAATGCTTAGCAGCGGCAGCGGAGTTGGTAAGAAACAGTCCTTTGGTGTGAAAAGGATTGCATAAGTTGATAATGAAGCTTAATTTTAGAGCTGATTGAATGGTAAGATACCGAGAACCGATCTTAGCTTCGGGTTTATAATACCGCTCTAAGACTTACCTTAATTTCCTTTCCGAAACTGCTGGGATCGCCTGCAATGCATCCCACGCTCCTTCAGCTCCATCAGGATTTTCACCGCTAAGCCAGTGATCCAGAGTCTCAAGGTTGCAGCACTAAGGTACTCCACCCTACGAGTAATCCTGCAAAGCTGACCGCTAGTCAGAGGCGTGGAACCACTAGGTACTGGCGTGTTCAAGGCTCGACCCTAGTAAATTTTGCATCGTGACAAGCTCCAAAGCAGCTATCGTGCTGACTGCTGCGCCAAATTGCCATCGGATATCGGTAAACCGAGCAACAATGGGTGCTCCAACATCAGTCTATCTTTTACGAGGAGTTCATGCAGTCACTGGTGGTATGTTTGACCGTAGTCGTCGGCTTGGCCAAGTCTCCCTGAGAGAAAGCTAAATCGGTGATTCTGACCCAACATGCATCAGCTCTCAGAGCGCTGATTTTACAACCTGACCGTGGTTGAGTAGCCGGCAAAGAGAGATGGTGCCATGGGCAGAGCATGCTATGAGACTTAGTAATCTAGATCATTGGTATCCAATGGCGGGCGAACAGGTACAGCGAAGCCCATGCAGGATCATATTGTATCCAGCATTGGGTCGAGAAAGGTGCTGTGTCTGAATACCTTGCTCTTCGTATACTGTGCTGTTGAAGATGGCTCTGACTATGCCCGAAACCAATATGATGCTTTTCCTTCAAGGTTTATGGCTATGCCTTGGCCTCGCTGTCTTTTATGGTCTATATCGTGGCATCTACAACAGATATTTCCATCCTCTACGGCATTTTCCAGGCCCCTTTTGGGGCTCCGTCTCCGACTTTTTCAAGTTGTGGATACTGCATACAAAGCAAGCTCACACTCTGGGTCTCAAATACCATGAGAAATATGGGCCGGTGGTGAGAGCCGCGCCCAACTTGCTGGCCGTGAACGATCCGCTGCTTCTACCCCAAATCTATCACCGGCGGGTGGACAAGACAGACGTCTATACAACGGGCGTGTTGGGCGAACTGGCTCCTCCGTTCCAGACTATCAAGCATGAAGACCATGCTGCAAAGAGAAAGCGTGTTGCCAACTCGGTAGGTTTCATCAGTTGTGATCCTACCACAGATGCTTGCTTCTTCATCCTTCGATATCCTGGGCTGTATTAGTGGCTAAATACATCAAGTTCACACTTACCAATCTAAAGCCTCTTGAGGGGCAGATTGATGCTCGAGTCGTCCAGTGGACCTCTGTGTTGAACGAAAAATTCGCCCAGACAGGCGAGAAGATGGATTTCGCGCAGTGGTCCCAGTATGTCTAGCGTTCTCAAATCCCCCAGGCAGCAGTCTACTGATAAATGTAGATGGTTTGCGTATGACACTATTTGCCAGCTCTCATTTGGCGAACCTTTAGGCTTCGTGAAAGAGGGGCGGGACATTGAGGACCTGATCGGCAACTTCCATGACATGGCGCCGTTCGCCGCTGTCGTTGGCGCGCTGCCATGGCTTGCAAGACCACTCCTCGAGAATCCACTCACCCGCCGCTTTGCCATGCCCAAACCTGGAGATGGTAGTGGGACTGGGAAAATTATGGCGGTGAGACCAAGCTTTCTATCCTGTCAGCTACTTTTTGGTTCGGAAGGCTGAGCCAACGTAGTTTAGAGACAAGCTTCTCGAACAGCGACTTGAAGACCCCAAAGCCTCTCAAAGAGGTGACTTTCTTGACAACATACTCGCCTCCAAGAATGCCGATGGTAGCCCAATCACGCTCGATGAAGTGAAGACAGAATGCTTTGTGCTCATGGTTGCTGCATCTGACACCACAGCTGCTTTCTTCTGTGGCTTCGTCCGATACGTCGTGCAAACACCAGGAGTCTACGAGAAGCTCGTTGCTGAAATCGACGATTTCGACCGACGTGGCTTGCTCAACCAACCAGTTCCACTCTTCGAGCAGGTCAAACAGATGCCTTACTTTAAAGCATGCCATTTGGAGGTTACTCGATTCTACCCTTCCACCCCAATGATCATCCCCAGATATGTGTCCGAAGGCGGGATGGACTTATATGGCGTGCATGCACCTGCCGGGGCCGAGATCGGTGCCAACCCATACGTGATCCAGCGAGACAAGAAAATGTTCGGCGAAGACGCTGATGTGTTTCGCCCTGAGCGATGGCTGGAGGATGAGGCGAGAGCGGTGCATATGGAGAAGCATATCCTTACCTGGGGCTACGGGACGAGAATCTGTCTTGGCAAGAATATCGCGCTGATGGAGACGTACAAGCTCATGAGTCAAGTAAACATTGTCTACAATGCTCCTTCCGTGGCGTTGGCTAATCCATGCCGACAGTTTTTCCGAGTCTTCAAACCGAGCATCTACGACAACAACAATGTGTGGAGGGCGGATAACCTGGCTCTACTGGTCCATTGGGACATGTGGATCAATATCCAAGCGCGAGAATCCAAGGTTGAGGAGAAAATAGCGAGTTAGAATAGCTATGGGAATTGCCTGAAGATGATTTTTTCTGTAGAACGCTATCTAGAGAGTTGCTAAGATGTTACCTAATTGTTGGCAAAGGCACGAAGATACGAATGTCATGTGACCTTATCGACGCCGCTTTGCATACCTAGGTACTCTGGATGTGTCCCCACTCCTACTTTATGCTCAGCCCTGGCGCAGCTGTGGGGGGCTTAGCTTAGCATCACGCTAAATTAGTGCGTCTTGTTAGCTTCCTGCACTCCTTGGCTAGGTAAGCTCGGTAAGGTAGTAGATACCTCGATACAGTACGACCTACTTCACTCTACCCTCTACTGTATACAAGCATCTTACTATCACTGCAACCGTCAACTTTCAAATAGGAAGGTCCATCAGCAGCAGCCAGAGAATCCTAACTAGTTGGACAACGATCACATTCGTTCGGGAACGCTTGCCAACCAATCTCCGCTCCTCACGCCTTTCTCTGCAAATTGCAATGCATGCTGAGAATAAGACAACGGGTGACTGTGCTTCATGTACATGCGCACAGAAGACGCATCGTGGCATTCATTGCTTACGGGGAAATTGGCATACCACGCTCAAGCAAGTTCAGGCAAACAAGAGCAAGCGAGCTAACGAATTCGATTTCCATGGATGTCCACGTGGACCCTGCATTAACGTGCGTGTAGGTAGGTACCCGAAAAAGTTCCGTGTGAATTCGATTTGTGAATTTAGATGTTAAAAGCAAAGCCTCGTCTCCTGCTGTAGCTGTCCTCGCTAACTTTTCCTCATCGACAAAGCTCTTCTCGCCACTTGAAACTCCTTGAATTCTCGGTCACCGACAATTCCTGCGGTTGGGTCACTACTTGGTCACCCAAATCTCCCTCACCCCGAGACCACGGCTGCCTGCCGGCTCGCTAGATTTCCACGTAGCCCTGATTCAAGAATGGAAATGGATCTCGTTGGAATATCATCCCCAAAATCAGCTTAGCCATCTGCCTCATTGCGGCTCAGTTCCAGTCCTGCTTGTTTATCCCATCATCCTCAATTTCGTCTCATCTCCTACACACCCATTCGCTTATCCTCGCCTGCGTTTGCGATTAGTGGCAAATTGGCCTTCCATAGTTCCAACCATTTCAATACCGATGTGTTTTGTTTGGCGTTGTTTGTTTTTGCTGCCACACTGCCTGTGCCGCTTGCTTCTCTCAGCTTGTCAGCTGTCCAACTCCCCTCTCTGATCAGGCTATCATGGCCCATTCTGGAATCCCGAAGATGAGCAGTGGAAGACGAATACGGTACAACAATGGAGATCTCAATTCCCGCACTCCCTGCCTTACACGTAATGCCACGCGGTGCCACGCGGAGATCTCGAAAGGCTCGGGATATAAATCTGATCAAGGAATCCGAATATCTTGGGTTCGTTTCTCTATCAGCATTGCCTACTTGTCAGCACTCTTTCGACAACTGCGGCTTCGTCTTTCTTTGAAGACCCTTTCAGGTCATTCATATTATCAAACGTCTCCTATCTTAGTTTCAATTTCAGAAATATGTTGGCCAACTTAGCTGTGCTCCTCAGCCTCGGCACTTCTGCTCTAGCTGGAAGTGTTTCCTATGCTTTGGCTGAGAGGGCAACGCCAGATCTCAAATCGTTGCTATCGCAGCCACAGCATGCATGGTGCTCCGGTACTCAAGTATTCTTCCCGGGCCAAGCAAATTATGCAAACCTCACCACACAAAGATGGAGCACATACGAGGAACCGACCTACTTTGCATCAGTCAAGCCTGCATGTGTTCAAGACGTGATCACCGTCGTAAGTACCGCTCCGTCCCATATCACCTGGTGCTGCTTCGGGCATGTGTTCGCTAATATTTGCTGGCCTCTAGGTCAAAATTGCCACTGCCAACAATATTCCGTTTCTCACGACTGGTGGGGGCCACTCGTTCAGTATCAACCTCAACAAAATCCAGAATGGTCTTGAGCTCGACATGGGAGGGCTCAAGTCTGTCAATGTAGACAAAGCCGCAAGTACCATGACAATCACTGGTGCCATCACATTCATCGAAGTCGTTGCCCCACTGTACGCTGCGGGTAAAGAAATCCGTAAGAGCTCTGCATCCTCTTTATACTGGATACCGTACTGAATAAAACAAAGCAACTGGCTCATGCGGGTGTGTTGGCTTCGTCGGCGGAACCATGGGAGCTGGCGTGGGCCGCTACCAAGGTATCCACGGCTTGATCATCGACAGCTTGCTCAGTGTTGATTTGGTCACGGCTGCTGGCAATCTCGTCACGGCATCCGCGACCCAAAACTCCGACCTTTTCTGGGGTTTCCGCGGAGCCGGCATGAATTTCGGTGTTGTCACGAGCGCTACTTACCAGGTTCATGACCTTACCAACGGTGGTGAAGTCCAGGATGCGGATATGATCTTCTTGGCTCCTCAAAATGTGTCATATTTCAATACTTTAGCATCTCTTTCGGGAACGCTTCCGCCGGAGCTCTCCCTAATCAGTTACGTTGCTTACAATTCCACCGCTGGCGTTGTAAGTCATTCTCCTCACCTTTCCCTTGTTTAAATTTCAAAATCCATCTGCTAACCATTTAACAGCAAGAAATCATCCTCAATGCCGTCTACCCGGGCCCCATGGCTACCTTCATGACCCTCATCAAACCATTCCTCGACCTCCAACCCGTCGTCCAAGTCGTCCACACCCTCACCTGGAGCAGTCTGCTCGAAACCGCCGGGTTCGCCCTCGACGCCAGCGTCTGCGCCAAGGGGAAACCGCACTCCGGCTTCGCGACCGGCGTCAAAAACCTCTCCGCCCCCACCTTCATCGACGCCTTCGACAAGTACGGCGCCATGTACGCCAAGTACCCGGAAACGCAAGGGTCCGTCCTGGAGATCGAATTCTTCCCCACCCAGGCCGTCCTCGCCGTCCCGGACGCCGCCACCGCCTACCCCTGGCGCGCCGTCAACGCGCAGGTCATGTTCGAAATGGCCTTCCCCGGCAGCGCGACGAGCCCCGCGGGCGCGTACGCGAACGCGCTGGCGGTGGCCTTGAGGAGTGAATTCGTCAAGACGAACGGGCTGCCCCAGATGGAAATCTACGTCAGCTACGCGCACGGGGACGAGGATCCCATCTACACGTTCGGGGCGGAGAAGTTGCCGCGGCTGGTCGCGTTGAAGAATCTTTGGGATCCGAAGGATGTGTTTAGTCATGACAAGCCGATCCCGCAGAAGTGGCCTTGATGGGGGGGGAAGGGGGCGGGAGATGGGGGAGGGGATGGGGGGGGAGGGGAGGGGTTGATGGATGTTGTGGGGAGATAATGATGCATGGTAGCATGGCTTGGTAGCCAGGAGATCACTCGTTTGCATTCTTGCTCTATCCCATCGTTCTGGCAGGGGTGTCAAATTCAGGGCTTCCGACCGAACATCGAAAAAGACCCTCATTGCATTTTAGTGTAAATCCAACAACGTCTGGTTTCACAACCAAATCCTCAGTGTGGCGATTCTCCTCAACATAAAGTAAGCAGATTTAAAATCCTGTCATAGAAAATCAATCCGTCAATCTTGCCCTTTCGAACCTTGTCCTGTGATAAGGATAAGGATGGGATACGGGACGAAATCTTTCCGCGCCCATGGTCTTTCCGACCGCGTGGGATTCCTTGATCGCCACGTCAAAAGACTGGGCGTGGGTAGGTGTTCGCAGATGATGGTTCGGAGTCCGTGTCAACGGCGGGAGAACTAGGTAGTGTCCACCACGAGCTACCGACATACGGTACCCAACAACTCTAAACCAGCAGCTGGCTCTCGATCCCATCTCGTCTCTTATCCACGCCGTAGCGTTCTTCTCCCCCACCCACCTACCCCCCACTCGTGTGTACAGCTGATTTTCTTTCATTCCGGGTCTATCTATGCCGCGTAGAGGTGGGAGTTATTTTTAGCGCTGGGGTACGAGGGCACGCTTGTTCGGGCCTCCATTCGGGCCTGTTTGGGCTTGCTGTGTCCCGGGGTTGAGACGGCGCCCTCAGGTGTTGAGTGGCATGTCCACTTGTGCCGCGTGTGCTGTCGGTTCGGATCTGAGACAGCTAAGAGAGGGTTGCTGAGGCAGCTATCGTTACAGGTCGGTTCGTTTGATTTCTGGTTGATCTGCTCTTTTTCGAATTCGAGCGTCCTTAATCCCCCATAGCCTGTTGCTAGTAAGCTGTCCCATATCTATGCAGACTGCGTGTCCAGGATCCTTTCCGTTACGCAATTACTTGAACTACCTACTATCTATCGGAGGGGAGAGAATCTTGCTGGGCCACAAATCGGAAGAGGCTGAGTCCTATGCTACGCTATAGTGATGCGATTGGTCCGGCATTCATCGGTCAAGGGTGCTCATTGCGAGATTCTCAACCCTGCAACTGGACCCATCGGTCCTTGATCAGTAATTCGATGCCCACTCTCGTGACTGGACTTTTTAGTACGGGAGGATTCTATATTCTCAACTCTGCAACTGGACCCATCGGTCCTTGATCAGTAATTCGATGCCCACTCTCGTGACTGGACCTTTTAGTAAGGGAGGATTCTATCAGACAGCGTCCCACGTTGAGCAGGGGTCCGATCGCCTCGGCAGCAGGCACCAAATTTGGAATACCACGGTGTAGCTATCAGCCAATCCAGCGGCCGTAGGAGTTGCGCGCAATGTAGGACTGGGGCGTACATGCACTGCATGATCAGGTGCTAGCCTCCGACACGATGCCTTCATTCCTTCGACGACTCCTCCCACACGGTCTCCAACATTGTTCGGCCATGGCGATTCGTCAGATGTCGATTAGAATGCGAACTGTGCAGGCAGCAGGGTGGTAGCGGTGGGGGGTCTAACACGTGTAAACTGTCATTGCCCTTGTGGATCGGGTCTTCCGATTGGTACTTCATTACCCGTGACCCTTGCTAGTGGCTTTAGCTCCTGCACCGGAGGATAGATGTGTGGGTGGGTATCGTGGTGTTCCCGGTTCTGGTGCTTATACCAA